CCTGCCCTTGGTCGCCCTGCCCTTGGTCGTCCTGCCCTTGGTCGTCCGGCCCTTGGTCACCCTGCCCTTCGTCGTCCAGCCCTTGGTCACCCTGCCCTTGGTCGTCCGGCCCTTGGTCACCCTGCCCTTGGTCGCCCTGCCCTTGGTCGTCCGGCCCTTGGTCGTCCGGCCCTTGGTCACCCTGCCGGCCCTTGGTCACCCTGCCCTTGGTCGTCCGGCCCTTGGTCACCCTGCCCTTGGTCGCCCTGCCCTTCGTCGTCCGGCCCTTGGTCACCCTGCCCTTGGTCGCCCGGCCCTTGGTCGTCTGGTCCTTGGTCGCCCTGCCCTTGGTCGCCCTGCCCTTGGTCGCCCGGCCCTTGGTCGTCTGGCCCTTGGTCGCCCTGCCCTTGGTCGCCCTGCCCTTGGTCGTCCAGCCCTTGGTCACCCTGCCCTTGGTCACCCTGCCCTTGGTCATCCTGCCCTTGGTCGTCTGGCCTTGGTCGCCCTGCCCTTGGTCGCCCTGCCCTTGGTCGTCTGGCCCTTGGTCGCCCTGCCCTTGGGCGTTCTGCCCTTGGTCGTCTGGTCCTTGGTCGCTCTGCCCTTGGTCGTCTTGCCCTTGGTCACCCTGCCCTTGGTCGCCCGGCCCTTGGTCACCCTGCCCTTGGTCGCCCTGCCCTTGGGCGTCCTGCCCTTGGTTGTGCCCTTGGTCATCTGGTCCTTGGTCGCTCTGCCCTTGGTCATCTTGCCCTTGGTCACCCTGCCCTTGGTCGCCCTGCCCTTGGGCGTCCTGCCCTTGGTTGTGCCCTTGGTCATCTGGTCCTTGGTCGCTCTGCCCTTGGTCGTCTTGCCCTTGGTCACCCTGCCCTTGGTCATCCTGCTCTTGGTCGTGTGGCCCTTGGTCACCCTGCCCGTGGTCGTGTGGCCCTTGGTCACCCTGCCCTTGGTCGTGTGGCCCTTGGTCACCCTGCCCTTGGTCGTCCGGCCCTTCGTCGTGCCCTTGCTCTGTTTTGGTTTCTATTATACAGACACACTTGCCTCAACAGCGGGGTGCTAACTTCGGTGGTTTGAGCATTACAAGGGTGTCCTGCTCTGGGGATGGGGGGGATGGGGGGGATGGGGGGACCCTCCCTCGGCTCCGTGTGCGGGGGGTCCTCCGGGCCCTGGTGGTGTGGCTGCTATAAACCTTCACCTCCTTGTGCTGGGCGCTTAGGTTGTTCCCCTTTTAAGTTTCCTCCCTTGGCCCGCACCCCCGGGACGGTGGCCCCTGTGGCCCCCCCCCGCCCCCCGGCAGTGACCGGCCTCCCCTCCAGGAGCTGCAGCGGCTGGTACGCCTCACGAGGCAGGAGGCGCGCGCCCAGCAGCAGGCCCGGGAGCACGAGGCCGAGCGCCTCCGGATTGAGATCGTGACGCTCCGCGAGGCGCTGGAGGAGGAGACGGCGGCCAGGGCCAGCCTGGAGGGGCAGCTGAGGGTGCAGCGGGAGGAGACAGGTGAGGGACGGGGAGCGGGGCCACCCCGGCCTCGCTCCCGGGGAGGCCAGGAGCGGGCAGCGAGGAGCCGGTGTGTAAGAAGGAGGAGCCTTGACCTCTCTTTTTTCCTTTCCGCACAGAGGTGTTAGAGGGTGAGTAGGGGCCCGGAGCCCGGCCGGGCGGGGCGGGAAGGAGGGGGGCCGTGGGCCTGACGGCTGGCCCCTGCCTGACTTCCCAGCCTCCCTGTGCAGCCTGAGGACGGAGATGGAGCGGGTCGAGCAGGAACAAAGCAAGGTGAGGCTGGCCTCCTCCGAGGCCGGGCTCCGCGACGGCGGGAGGGGCGGCAGCGCGGAGACCCCCCCCGGCCCCTCCTGCCCTTTCTGTCCCCATGAGGCCCGGTGGCAGGAAGCCGTGAGGCAGCCACCGGGCCCGGCCCCACGGAAGATGTCATTGTCAGGGGTGGTGTGGAAGGGGCTCCCCGCCCCCCGCCCCGTCCAGACCTCGCGTGTCCCCTTGCGGCGCGAGGCCCCAGCCCTGCGTCCTGTCCGCCCCCCAGGCCCAGCTCACAGACCTGCTCTCAGAACAGAGGGCGAAGGTGCTGCGGCTGCAGGTGGAGCTGGAGACCAGTGAACAGGTGCAGAGGGATTTTGTACGACTGTCCCAGGCCCTGCAGGTACGGGATGGTCCCTTCCCCTCATGTGGCCGGGATCCAGGCAGCTCGTCCTAGGTCCTCCGAGGACGGCCTTCCAATTAGGGGCGTCCCCGTCCTCCTCCCGAGGCCGGCATCCTCCTTCCCTCCGGGCTGTTGCTCGGAGGCAGCGGAAGACCTCGCGCGCCCGGCTCTGTGGGCCGTGTGAGGCCCTCGGCCCGAGCCTGGCCTGCGGCGCATTGTGTCAGCCGCGCCTGCCCCTGCCCACGCTTGTCAGGCCGCTCTCTTAGGACCCGTTTCTTCCCTTGAATCCCAGTTTCACCGCGGGCTGGGGAAGGCGGGCCCCTGGGTGGCGGCGGGGGGGGGGGGGGGGGGCGGGCAGGTGGAGCGGGGGCTGCGTTTCCCCACCAAGGGCCCTCTTCCTCCCTCACTGGACCCCACAGGTGCGCCTGGAACGGATCCGCCAGGCGGAAAGTCTGGAACAAGTGCGCAGTATCATGGATGAGGCGCCCCTCAGGGACATCAGGGACATCAAGGACACCTGAGGGGCTAGAAACCCCCCACCCTGGGGGAGACTGCCTTTCCCTGCTCCTGAACCTAGAGGCCTGGGCTTTTTGCCGGGGCGGGGGCGGGGGGGGGGGCGGCGTGTCTCAGGATAGAGTCTTCATCCCCTCCAAGCCTGGGGTTGGGGTGCTGGGGCCACCACTGCCCTCTCTCCAGCACCTCCCCCCAGGGGTGGCTGGCCTCCTGCTCCCAACGACAACACCTGGGCAGGAGTCCCAGCCCCCTCCAGGAACCAAAGGTGTAGGCTTAGCCCTGCGGCTTTCTGGCTGCCATGCTGCCTCCTGGGTCTCGGCCCTCCTGCCCCCCTGCCCCCAGCCAGACCGGCAGCTGGGCCCCGGGTGGTGGCTGCGAGCCTCTGGCCCACGGCAGCTGGGCCCTCCACACGCGCACCCCGGGACAGGCAGCTGCTTTCTGGACTGCATGACACTAAGATGCTTGTCCCCAGGGGCCCGACCCAGGCCCCGAGACATGCACAGAGGCAAGACCAGACTTTTCTGTCATTTATTTTCAATAAATAAGCAGCTCAGCTCAATCCGTCGCCTTGTCCCTGCAAGCCCCACAGGGTTGGGGAGGAGGGGCCTTTCAAGAGCAGAAGGGAAGGTGGGCTGTCGAGGAGGGTGGAAAAGTGAAAGGGACCCTCGTGTTTATAAACAGAAAACTGTCGGGGAGAGGAGGGGACGTGGGCGTCTGTGCCACAGCTCTGGCCGAAGATGCGTCACTATCAGGGTGGGGAAGGAGGGGCAGAGGGACTGGTTACTTCCTTCTTTCATCTTCTGGATCTGGAAGGCGAGAGGGAAGGGTAAGGCAGGGGCCCGGAGGGGAGAGCAAGAGTCCGTCCCAGGCTCTGCGGCCCCTGTCCCCGGCGCACGCATCTGGAGGGTGCCCCCGGGACTCACCTGTGTCCCAGCCCCCACTCGTCCCCCAGCGCGGCAGCCCTGGCAGCGGACAGCTCAGCCCCCAGCCCCCAGCCCCGCCGCGGAGCTGGCCCAGCCGGCCGCACGGCCCAGGCCGCAGATCACCCCGCCGGGAAGCCTGGCCGTGGCAGCGGGGGCTCCAGGGGGAGCAGCGAGCGCAAGTGACCTCGTGTGTGGGGGGCCCTCGGGGGGGTGAGGGGGGCGCGCGGGGGGGCACAGCAGCTGGGGGCGAGGGCGAGAAGGGGGCGATACCTGTGACACGGTTCAAAGAGGTGGAGGAGGGGGGCGGGTTTATCCTAAGGCCAGAGAGGACAGAGAGACAGAGTTACGGTGGGGGGGGAGGCGGGCGCGGCGGGCCAAGGAGGGCTGAGCAGGCTGTGGGCGCCCGCATGGGTGCAGGGGCGTGGGGGCCCGGGGAAGGGACGGTGGTCGTCTCAGGGCCAGAGCACCCTGTGGAAAAGGAAGCGGGGGGGGGGGGGGGGGGGGGGGCGGGCGCCTTCGCAGCGCAGAGGGCGGGCCTGGGGCGAACAGGGCTCGGAGGAGGGCCACAGCTTACCCTCCAGGTAGTTCCGAGCAATGAACTTGAGGAGCTCATCGAGCAAAATGACTGGAAATGAGATCTTGAGGACCATGAGCCAGTGGGTGAGGTCCAGGGCCTGGAGCTTGAAGATCATCTGGGAGGGTAGGCGGAGGCGGTGAGGACCAGTGTCCCTCTTGGGAGGGGCCGGGCAGGGGCCAGGGTTCCGGCACCGCCCCAGCCTGACTCCCTCCTCCCTCTGTGCGCGCCCCAGCCCACAGAGGCTCCCCGGGTGCCGCCCCGAGTGGGCTCACCGGCAGAGGGTCGACGTAGAGGATGAGAAAGTGGAGGGACATGGAGAGGCAGATGGAGCCCAGCAGCCAGATGTTCACCCAGGGGGGCATCCGCAGGAGGGACTGGTTCTCAGACAGGCTGCGAAGGGGAGGCCGGGCGGAGCCCAGGGTGGGGGACAGCAGAAGAGAACAGTGGTGAGCGGAGAGAGGAAGGGGGAGGACACAGCGGCCTCCGGAAGGCGGGTGGGGCGGGCGGGCGGGCCCCACCTGTTCAGAGCGTTGCACATCTCGATGGTGACCAGCACGGACAAGGCCATGGTCATGGGCTCGGGGGCCTCAAAGACCTCGCAGTCCAGGCCCTCAAAGTCAGGGTTTTCCTCGTTGCACTGCATGAAGTGAGTCTGCAGGGGGAGGAGTGAGGAGCTGGGATCCCACAGAAGCCTCTGCGCCCCCCTCCTGCTCCCCGCCCTCCTCCCTCCTGCATCCCCCTACCAGCTGGCTGTAGGTGACATGAGGCCCGTCATCTGCGTACAGGAACCACCAGGCTGCCGCTCCCACGGTGGCCGCACCCACGTAGCCTGCGGTGGAGAGATGGGAGTTGGGGGTCACGGCTGGGGGCACGCGAGGTGTCAAGGGCTCGCAGCCGCCAACGGCTCGTTGAGGAAGAGGACCCATCGGGGTGGCTGCCCCAAGGGAGCAGGTGTGCCAGAGAGGGGTTAGTCCCAAGGGTGGGGAAGGAGTGCGGGGTCCCCCCTCTGTCCTGCTCACCCCCAATCGCCATGTAGCGGAAGAAGAGCCAGCCACTGATGAGGGGCTCCCTGGGGCTCCGGGGGGGCCGGTCCATGATGTCCAGGTCTGGTGGGTTAAAGCCCAGGGCCGTGGCTGGGAGCCCGTCGGTCACCAAGTTCACCCACAGCAGCTGCACGGGGATCAGGGCCTCGGGCAGCCCTAAGGCGGCGGTCAGGAAGATGCTGCCAGAAGGAGGCAGTCCCGTGTCCGTCCTGCCTCCAGACATGTGGCCAACCCCCCACCTCGCCGCCAGCCCACCCCACTGCCCCGCGTTCCTGCCAGGCGCCCGCCCGCCCAGGCTGCTCACCAGACCACCTCGCCCACGTTGGAGGAGATGAGGTAGCGGATGAACTGCTTCATGTTGTTGTAGATGGCGCGGCCCTCCTCCACCGCGGCCACGATGGTGGAGAAGTTGTCGTCGGCCAGGACCATCTCGGAGGCCGTCTTGGCCACGGCGGTGCCGGATCCCATGGCGATGCCGATCTCAGCCTTCTTCAGGGCGGGCGCGTCGTTGACCCCGTCACCTGTCTGATGGCAGAACGAGCAGGTGGGATGCAAACCCTCCTTGGGGGCTGATCCTCCCCTGTGCATCTCAGTCCCCCCGGGCCCCACCCCCATGCCCCCCCCATCCAGCCCTGCGCAGCGCCGCCATCCGCTCACCATGGCCGTGATCTCATCGTAGGACTGCAGATACTCCACGATCTTTGACTTATGGGACGGTTCCACGCGGGCAAAGCAGCAGGCGCGACGGCAGGCCGCCCGCTGCTCGGTCAGGGGCAGGTCGTCGAATTCCCGGCCGGTGTAGGCTCGGTCGGCAACCTCCTCGTTCTCCCCGAAGATGCCAATTCGCCGGCAGATGGCAATGGCTGTGCCCTTGTTGTCCCCAGTGATCATGATGACTCGGATTCCGGCGTCCCGGCACAGCTGAATAGAGCCCATGACCTCCTTGCGGGGTGGGTCCAGCATGCCCACCACACCGATGAATGTCAGGTCCGTCTGGGGAAACGGCCGAGAGCGACAGGGTCAGGGAAGGACTCAGAAGATGAGCCAGGGAGGAAGCTCAGGGGTCGGGGGGGATGGTGGGAGATGGGGCCTGGTGTGCAAATCTCAGTGGGGCCTCGTAAGCCCAGGGGCAGGAGACGTTCCTTGTTCACACGCACGCCTGCAGGCCTGGCGCTGCCTGGCCCAGCGGAGGTGGCTGCCCATAGATATTTCAAGGAAAGAACTAGAACTGGGAGTTAGGGTAGTGGTTTCTGCCTTCGGGGGGCCAATCCAGGCTACCTGCCGGGCCACCGGGTCCCAACGAGAAAACGAAGGGGTGGACGCTAGTGCTCTGTGGAGAGCTGGTTCACTGCAAGGTAAGGCCCAGGCACCAGAGCACAGGCAGGTCTAGCCCCGCTCTTGCATCGGGAGTATCTCACTGTGGAACCACGCACAGAACCGAGAATGCCCAGGGACCGCGTGGGTCTCTGCTTTGGCGGCAAGCGCCTCACCTCATCCCGGACAGGCCCATGGCCACCGGCACAGTAACCCTGGACCAACTAGATGGTTCCTATAGTCCTTCCAGATTCTAGGTTCTTTCCTGTGATTCGAGGGGACGTGACGCAGCAGGACCCGACACAGGTGGAGCCAGGGAGAGGCGGATGACTTGGGGGCGAGGGGAGGCTTCCATCTGCTCACCTCGTACTCCATGAACCTGGCAGAATCGTCCAGGATCATCTCCTCTCGCTTCGGGGGGGTGTCCCGGGTGGCCAGGGCCAGGCAGCGCAGCGTGTCCCGGCCAGTGCCCCACTCCTTGATCACCGACATGATCTTGTCCTTCACCGGCCCCGTCATGGGTACCCGGGTGGTGCCAACTCGCACATAGTTACAGCGGTCAATGACCCCTTCGGGGGCGCCCTAGGAGACCAAGAGAGCTTTCAGAGACCACTGTCTTTCTTCCAGGGCACAGTGATGGGGAGCAGGGATAGGAGAGGGCTCTGGGATTAGGAAGAAGAGAGGGACTGAGGCCCATTCTGATTTCTGACCTTGACGAACATCTTGTTGCCCACAGCAGCCCGGGATTTGGCTGGGGAGCAGTAGACAGACATGGACTTCCTGTCCCGGGAGAACTCCAGGGTGAATTCCTTCTTCATTAGCTGTCGGATCACCTGGGAAAGAGGAGACGGAGAGGGAGGGGCCAGACGTGAGATTGGTGGGATGAGAATGACGATGCTGTGCTAGAAGGGCAGATCCCCAGACCCCTTAAAACATAGTCAAAAAGGATCTGGAGGTCAGAGCAGACCACAAGCCAAGTTTCAGACTGGAGCTCAGTCTGGTACCTATGGTGCAAATGGAGAGAACTTCAAGACTGTTGCTGCCGCTTTCTTACAGTGTCTAGTTTAAAGCACGACTGAAAGGGCGCCTGGGTGGCTCAGATGGTTAGGTGTCTGCCTTCGGCTCAGGTCATGATCCCGGGGTCCTGGGATCGAGTCCTGCATCGGGCTCCCTCCTCAGCAGGGAGCTTGCTTCTGCCTCTCCCTCTCTCTCTCTGTCTCTCATGAATGAGTAAATAAAATCTTAAAAAACAAACAAACCACGACTGCAACAGGATGGCACAGTATGGTACCGTCTAGAACTTTCAGTGATGGTGGGAATGTTCCCTAATCGGAACCATCCAATACGATGCCACTGAGCACGGTTATTCAGCATGGAAAATGTGGCTGGTGCAGCCAAAGAGGTGAATTTTTACTTTTATCTCATCTTAATTAATTTAAATTGAAATAGCTACACGTGGGCTCCTAGAGACGTGTTATGGGACAATGCAGACCTACTGCCTGGCATGCAGTAATAAACACGCCACAAAAATGAACGCGATCCTTTTTCACCAAATGCGTCACAGAGATTTCAAAAGAAAACAACAATAAGAGTAACAATAAGTAAAAAATCAGGTGATGTTTATATTAGCATTTGTAAATTCCTTCCACGCGCTCTCTACTGATAGATATTTCAGTTGTTTTCATGATTCCTGTCCTATTAG